AGGGGAATTTCTGAACAAATTCAGCTAGCAATACTGAGAGGATGCATGAGCACATAGTTCAGCGCACTCTGAACTAGGGTCAAGACCTCACGTTCCCAAACGTGGCCTCCCAGGCACTAGTCCAACGTACCCCCATCACAGCTTGAATCAGAGGAGTTTTGTTTTCATCTTCATCATTCACCCAGTTGATCTCAGCACCATGTGCCAGTGCTTCTGCCATGAGAGGCAAATTTCGGGCTTGTGCTGCCTTGTAGATCAACAAGCCAGGATGCAGCTCCCTCAGGTCCTCCAAATCTGATGCTTCCTGTTCAATCTCTGCTTCGCCACTTGACTCCTCTGACACCTCACACTCTATTGAGACAGAAAAGGAAGGAGAGATGACCCAAAAGCTTCTCATTTCCAATTTCTAATGTTCCCTGTTGTTCTTGGCACTGAGCAGTCCTGAGCATCCATCCTGCCTTAGCACTAGCTGCTTCCCCACACTTCCACCAACATTCTGTGACACCCACCTTCCTCTGTCACGCTGTCCACCACAGAGCCAAACACCAGGATATCAGTGCTGCCATCTGTGCTTCCTCCAAGCCCGCTGTCACTGCTCAGACCTGCAGGGCCAACAGAAGAGAAACCAAGACCATTTTAATACACAGGCATTCCAGTACCAGGCACAGCTGAGACCACAGGGGAAGAGGGCTGTGCAGAATGTCACACACACATTGCACCAGGCACCGCTGGCAAGGGAGAGGGGGACTGCTACCCCATGTATCCCCAGTCAGTAAAACTGCCCAAGGAAAAACTGCAAAGCTTTATGGTGTCCATGTCCCCACGCTGCCCTTCACGCAGGGATGCTTCAACATTGCCATGGCACTTGGGACTGTTGAGGACAACCCTTGCTGCAATCCATGAGGGACGCTGTGACGTAGACTGGAGCAGAGCAGCAGCAGAGACAGCTTTGCAGCAGGTTATGCAGCGCCATAAGCACATAAAGGCACCCCTCTGCTTTTACCACTAGTAATCACAGTTTCCACTCTATTCACACACTCCCCAGAGCTTTTCAGTTGTCACTGGGGGACTTGCCAATGCATTGCTCTTGTGACAGATTACTGACCATGACTGGGCCAAATAATATCAATCGTGTGTATCTCAAGCCAAACTCTTAAAGCATCGTCCATTGGCTCATTCACCTTCATAGACACCCCTTCCCTTTGCCTACAGTGCTTTCCAACTTCCCTGCTTAGCTGGTGAATGTTAAAAGGCAGCCGACTACATACAAGAAATGGAGTCCTGAAGAGATGAAGCACATTGTCCAAGGACACACATTGTGTAAGTGGCAGAGCAACTGTGTACCTTTTCCAGCTTGCACCCTAAAACAGCCAAGAAAATTACAAAGGAAGGAAGAAGCATGTGCAGGAATTTTCCCTGCAGGAACAGGGATGGCCCATCACCTTTGTCCTGAGGTATCCCAGCCCCCTTGGGAACTCTGGCTGGACTCAGCTTGTTGCTGCTTTTAACTTCCCAATGACTCTAAGGGCTGGGACTGTCTGTCCTCCCACAACTCATGAGGTTAAGTCCCCATGATCTACCCCAAGACCTATACGCAAAACCACTGTGATTAGAAAGAAAAACAAGCCAGGTTGTAGCTGCCAAAGTGTTCCCAAATCATGAGCTGAGTAGTCCTTGAAAGGTGTAATAGCAGGAAATCCAGCAAGAACTAAAGATGTGAGCCTTGGACACCATAGCAGAATGAGGCACCTTAACCCTAAAGGCTGTCTGTTGAAATCTTCAGAGCAGCTACAGCTAGGTCCTACATAAAGAACAGTCTCTAAATCAGTGGTGCTGAAATCAAGACTCGCAAGTAATCCTTCAGCAATGTTCAACAGCCAAAGGAGACAATAAAGCTACAACAGGAAAGGTTTAAAAGTGGCACATACCATACATTTTATTTATTTATTTGCTGTCAGAAAAATCATTTTGTAGAAAGCAAACATACTGCTTGGCAAGACTATGCTTTCCATTCTGTCAGTACAAGTGAAGAATGAATCCAAAAAGGCTTTAGATTTATGTCAAAGCAAAAAAGAAGGATCTGGCTCTTATCACATGAATATTATTATGTCAAATTCCCAGTTCTGTTCCCACTGAAATAGTGATAAAATTCTTATTTTCTTCTATAGCAGCAAGATAAGGCTGTAGAGCAACTCTGAAGCGCTCCATCTCCCAAGTATTACTTCTGTTGACTAATAATGCTGAATTCCTTGAAACTGGAATAACCCTGAAGGCATTGATTCACACAACCACTACAGCACCTTCTTCGTTGATTTCAAGAGATAACATGTACTTGTAGGAAAGCCTGTGATTTTCTGCTGTGCTGACTCAGGACCTTAAATTTTTCTCATAAGTTCATACAATAACAAGCACTGAGCTACATTATTGTCCTCAGCCGAGTATGTTACTGGACCACACGACTAGCATGTGACAGATGTGGGGCATGAAGTAAACACTTCTTAGTCCCTATTTGCCAGGAGATCCCACATGTACAGGATTGGATCCTTTATCTCATCTGAGGGACAGTTGTTCCTGTAAGACGTAGTAACTTGACTGCTGGAAACCCTAGGAAGCTTTGTGCCTTTTGAAAGCCTGCCAGCCTGTCTTTCCCACTGGTAATAGGAATGTATGGGTTCCAATCATCTGGCTGAAAGAAAACACAGAACTGCCTCTGAAGCTTGGTTTGGAACAGGTCAAATCTGGGCGTCTCTTTTGCTGCTAGCTGCCAGAGCGTCACCTTACCTCCGTCCAGGAGGAACGGCGTACCGCTCCCACCGGGACCAATGCCACTGCCACTCCATGGGCCACCTGTTAGCGGATGCTGCATAGAGATGTGGCTGGCACCTAGAGGAAGGTGGACGGAATATGAGGGGAGTTGATTGTCACAAATACAAAAAGAAAAATTGTCCGCAGTAAGACTTGCTAAAAAAGGAAAAAAATTAAAAGCCAAAACTAAAACCAGAAAAAAAGCCAATGGAATGCATAGTCTGGGAGTAAAAGATGTCTGGGAAAAAAAATCCCATCCACCAGAATGCAAACACCAGGGACTGATTGGATAGGACATTAAAATAATAAGTGCAATAAAAGAGCAATGGGGTGGAGTTTGTGCAACTAACTCCCCATCACTCTTCTGAAATATTTACCCTCTCTCTAGTGAGGCCAATCCCTTGCCTTAGGTCTGGTGCAATGCACATGCCCTACAAGAGCGGGAAGGTAAAGCTTGCCAGAAGCAGAGACACTTTCTCTTTTTACTTACTGCGTGGGCCGGAGCCAGCACCAGTGTCAAAGTAGGAGAAGAGAGAGTCCAGCTCATCAGGGCAGAAGAGGGAATCTCGACGGAACTTCCTCTCCAGCGTAGCTGCTGTTTTACACAGAGAGATTTTGAAACACGTAATCAATAACATGCAAATGAACAAATGAGACACTGGCCTACAGCTGCATCTACACAGACTGAACTTCCATGTCCAGCACACCCCAGATGTGTCCAGTGCCATGCTCCTGCCCACATACACCATCAAAATACAACATGGAGCTGACCATCACGGGGAATTCGCTGCAGAGCAAGTCACCCCAGAACATTCTGAGCAGCCAGAACCCTTCATAAGCATGGCCTCTCTTACAGACCAGGCAGGTAAAACTAGAAGGATTTGAAATTTTTCAAATGCAGGAAGCTGGAATACAAAAGAAAATGCAGAGAGCAAGCTTAGAAGTTGCTGAATCACCCTAGTGTAACAATCTTTAGCCACAAGAACCTCCTTCAACAGATGGAAAATGTTAGGAAATAGCTCTAACGACCTGTGTCAACACGGTTTATGCAACAGCATTTTTGCTGATACCCCTGGCAGGCTGCAGGTCCTAGAGAAAGACAGGGCCACACACGTTATTACACGTGTACACGCCCACAAAGCATCGTGGGCAGGCCAACCCCACTCTGCATGGGGAGTGGGGCAAGGGAGATGCCCACCTGACGAGAACATGGCTGGTGATGGACTGCCTGCTTCATGGCGGTACTTTCTACGAGCAGTGGGTGCTTTCGTCGTGCTGTTGTTCCTCTGGCACTTCTTCACACACCAACGTCGAGGTTTCCGCTCATTCTCTGTTAGGGTCTCCCCATTTGGCAGCTTCTTCAGGAATTTCTTCTCCACATACTTTACTTTGATCCAGGCTTCCTTGTCCTGCCTAAGAGAAGAACAGCATAGAGCTGTGCACAGGGTCACATGATTTGCCTAAAGCAAACACCCACAGGGAAATTAAGCTGCTCGGGTCATTTTATCAACCTGACTTTGAGTCTTAGAAATCACCGAGGCCTGTATTAAGGAAGAAGAGTTTCTCAAACCTAAAAATATCTCCCATTTCAAAGCCAAAATAAGAAGTGCAGTGCATAGCTGAGAGCAGAATGCGATGTTCAGCCCTGGGCAACACCATGTCCTTCAGTTACATGTATTTGTAAGGCCTCAGAGGCAGTGTAAGCCCAGCAAGCCCTGGTTCCCAAGCATGTTTCACCAGGTTGTTGACTGGTAATGCCCCACTCACCTTCCTGAGAGCCAAGCTCAAGTTAGCTCCAGAGGGAGTGGGCTGAGGGAGGTGTACCTGAGGTAGCTTGGGCCCTCAGAGAAAGGCTAATCACACTCTTAATCTGATTTTCCAGGAAGCTTAGGGTATTGGTGTGGATGGATAGCTTTCCACAGGACTGAGACTCACCTGGAGCTCCCTGCTGTTGGTTTCTTAAGTCCCAACTCTTCACACTGTGCCTCATAAATCTGATTCATGGTACTGTTCCCCAGCTCGCACATCAGCTGCAATACAACAGGGAATGAATGAAACCCTCAGGTGAGGAGCTACCTTCCCTCTCGTCTAGCCTGTCACCAAGACAAATGGTGGACATGGAGGGAGTCTGTCTCTTGCCATTAAAAGCCAACACTCACTTTCAGCAACTCTGGTTCCCAGGAGTCCAGTGTGAGAGATCGGACTTTGGAGCAGTGAACACCTAGACTCCTATTTATCCAGAAGGAAGAAAATGAAGATGGTTACACGCCTTATAAGAGGAACAAGATCAATCCAGTTCTTACATATTTATCTACACTGACATAGCCATAACAGAGAGGTATACACAGATGGACCTGCACACACAGGTACCGCAGCAAGCAAGTGCTTTTGAATTGGAACAAACATAGTCAGTTGTAATTCAGACTCCACCGTTTTTTTCCAGGAGCTTGCAACCCATCCCCACCTGACAGCACAGAGCACACATGCATGCAGTACCTGTGGATACCAGAGCACTCAATGCACAGCAGAATGCCCAGGTTGATACTGGCCCAGCGAGGATCTGGCTGACCACAGTCGCAGCACTGGTCATTCCCAGGGATGCTCTGCACTCTCTGCAAGATGGTCTCTCCTTTCACATTGCGTTCTCGGGAGTCGGTAGCAGAATCAATGCTGCTAGTTGACGGGGAAGCAGTTCGGTCCAGTCTCTGCAGGGGAAAAAAGGGTTTTAAGACTCTGCAAAGCACTGTGGAATGAATCAGAGCTTTGCATAGCAGACGCACTGACAGGAAGCGTTACCTGAAGAATAAAGTAGGGCTAGCCAAGAAGGGAATGGGCAAAGCCTTATTAATCTCTACTGTTGCCACAAGACGGCGCTTGCACCCCACCTCTGCTCTGGGAGCGCAGGCAGTGTTGTCAGGACACTGATACAAAGCTTTGCCTTTTCCTCAGTCCAGCTTTGTAAATGTGGCTTTGGTTGGTGAACAGTTGTTGCCCTGGAGTTAGCAATGACATCAGCTCCTTTCCTTGTGGGCAGACGAGTATTTCCAAATGGTCCACCCATGCACACTGGACCTGCCACAGCCCACAAGCCCCCTGTCAGGGCTCTGAAACACAGTTACGGATCTTTCATACCCCCTCACTCACTTCAATATAGTAGCTGTCAGGACTCTCCCTGTATGCAGAAGCAATGCTAGCTTGAACAGCCTGAATCCAGGCCTGACGCAGCTTCTCCGAGTCAGCCTGCAGCATGCAGCTCCTGTGAAGGAAGGAAATGAGTTGGAAAGAGCAAAAGGACAGGGTGCATGTTTTGGTTAAAACTGCACCCTCAGCATAGGACTTTCCAAGGGAAGCAGCACCTTGATTTGACAGGCAAATGGGCAAAAACTAATCCTACAAGCTTGCACCGTCGGAGGTGTTCCCTCTTCAAAAACTCCAGGCAGCTCTGCTAGCTGTTTTGAAAAGCTGATCATTGCCAGTTTCACTGTCTGTATATATACTAGGTATGGGTGGCCTAGATCTGGCTTATGTTAATGTCTGATGAACTTCACAGGGACTCTGGAGTACAGGCAACGGTGTCTCCCAGTCAAAATTTAATAGCCCAGGGCAGCATCTGCTCAAATCTAATTTCCTGCAGTTCCACACACAGTCCAGCTACCATGAGGATGGCCTAGGGAAGCCACCAAACTTACTTGGTAGGCGAGACGACCTCAAAGCAAAACCTTCTCTCTATGTCTTCACACGGCTTGACAGTACAGAGCCGCAGGTCTTCCACCACTACCGTGAGGACATCCTGAAAGGGTGAGAACAGGTGGCTTTGTTGGCTCCCTGAATCTGTGCCATAAACAGGTGTCTCAGAAAACTCCCTCCCCAGCCCTGCTGGTTTCCATATGCTGAGTCCAGAAGGAGCAGAGCCGGCCCACCACCAGATCACTCTAGGGCAATGGGAAGGGGTTATACAGAATCAAAGCTTGGGACAACACACACACGAAGTGGCAGGCTTATGGGGACTTCAACGTCCTTGGCTGAACAGGAATATTTACATCACCACACACACCAGCTGCTACCACTTAGTTCTCAGTACAGTCTAACTTTGGAGGACAATAATGCCTGAATGGGCTTGCCATCCCTCTGATCCAACCCTCCTTCCACCGCACTCCCCTGCCATGGTACAGAAGACCTCAGCAAAGCAGGATACCAGACAAGTTGGCTAACCTGCCAGCATCATCTGGGGTAACCTCACTGACCTTTAGCTTCTTCTGGTACACCAGCTGACTGTTCTGTATGGAGAACCACCTCCTGAGGGAAGACAGACAGACATCAGAACAAGTGAACAGCTGAGCTACAAAGAGGCAGTTTGTTCTGCAGCAAAGCAGGATACCTCTGCATTTTAAAAGAGCGTAATTTATTCCAAAAAGCTGGAAAGTAATGTCAAAAGAAAACCTCACACTTCTCCAGTGCCCTCCCTCAGAGAGCAAGCAAAGGATTGACAGCCTTAGGGAATGACTCCTAGCATTGAGATGCTGTGACTGCAAGTGTTCTAGATATATCAGTGTATAGCAAGAAGGCAGGAAAGAAGGGAAAAAAGGAGTAGGGCAGTCCCATATTACTGCCTAGGATTTCTGGGGCAGAAATCTGCATGTGCACACTGGCCCTGGTGCAGGTAGTAAATCCAGTGCTGCAGGACATGTTGCACTGGCTAGGGCATACCTGTACTTGCACATGTGCACAGTGGGCACACTTGGCGTTTACTGTAAAGTTGGATTACTTGCCCATGCCATGCCAGATGCAGTGTGCCTGCCAATTAAGGCAAGCTATATATTCCTTGATCACAAAGAAACTTCCAGGTCGAAAAAAGAAAAACCCATCTCAGAAAACCCTGCTAACTGGCAGCTCTACAGTGTTGGATAAAACAGTACAAATGAGTTGCACATCTTGCTGTTCATATAGGCTGTCCTACCCACTGGGCTGACTTCTCTGTACCTACTACATCCTATGGGAGGCCAAACAATGCCGAAGCTCCTGTTTCCTATGACTAGAGTAAGGACAGGTGTCTGTGAAAGGAGTCTACCTTCTTAGGGGGCAACAAATCACCAGCTAGCGGCTTTCCATTAAAACACAAGTTACAGGAGGTCTGTGTGACGCTGATAGCAGAAGCAATTCCCTACTGTCTTAGTCTTCAGTACTAAATCTAACCCTCCAAGTCACTTCTTCATCTCAATATACAGCCTAAGATTTAGCAACCTGATCATCATCATGGAGGGCAATGGAAGCCATGACCATCACTAAGCTTCAGGAAGAAGGTACTGGAATACCCCAGCATAAAGAGTCAGAGACTTGCAGCAAGTTGTTATCTAGGGCATCTATTACATACTCTGCAAAAGAAGTAGGTTCCCTGGGAAAATGAGATGCAACAAGGTTCTCTTTCTTTCGTCATTGCTGAAATATTAAACAGAGAAAAAAGGCAACAAACGGACTTGACATGTCTGTGAAGAAACAGGAAAATATAGGTAACTGGAGGCCATCCCATCTATGGGGAAGCCCACTTTGATGTGCTAATATGGTTCTGCATCATTCTGAGCTGCTGTGACAGTAGCAGTCTATGCTCAAGGAGCTCTGCGGTCACAAGAAGCTAAGCACAAAGTTTGCCTCTCAGGTTTCTGCTCTCTGCTCCTTACAGCTGTGGTTTCCTGCTCCCCACCCCAAAGTACACATTTCTGCCTGACGCTGGCTCTCAGCCCAATATCCTGACCTGTGGATTTTGCTGTTCACTCTGTCTGCCCTCTCCCACTCACACGAGGGGGAGGCACTAACAGTGAATAGCTGAGTGACAGGGAGAAGGTGATGAGTAGGCTACAGGAGCTGTGAATAGCTAAGATGCGGGCAGATATGGCTGAGTGGGTGGAACTGAGAAGACAGAGATGGCTGTGGGGAGGATACAGACTGTGTATGACTGGGATGTAGGATACAGAAAGGATAGATGGGATTTAGAGGGCAGGGAAAACTTGGAAGCCCTTGACACTAGCATTACTTCAGACATCAGGAAAATCAGGAAGTCACAGAGGTGATGTTCCCTCCAGGATAAGTGCCCTTTGGAGCGACCCTTGAATTCACAGCCAAAGGAGTTGCCAGGTAAATGGAGTTGCCTGGAACAGTTCATCTCCACCACAAGAGTCAAAGCACAGATCTTGACGTTTGCCTGACACATTTTGGAATGACCTTCTGCTCCGCAAAGACACGTGGTGCCAGTGAAAGCATCCATGTGACAGACTGGACCAAGGTTATACTTTGCTCAGGAAACACCAAGCAGCAAATGCTAAGAGGCTGATAAAAATTCAGCTAAGACACCTTCCCAGTGCGACAGTTCGTGAGCACTGAAATCAAAGTGTCACGCACTGAACTGTAGCTGCTGTTGTGGTTTCTGGTTCCTCCAAGCGCAAACTTAGTACTTAACTGTCAGAAGACTGGAGAGCCGGAGGGGTAACAAAATTATACTAAATTTGCCTGGAAACACCTTAGTATAAGAGGAAGCTTCAAAGAGAGGAATCACTTATCTAACCAATTCAGAGACCTCTAATAATTTCAAGTCTTTATTCCATGCAAATACAGGCAGTTTCTGTGTGTACTAAAATCTGTTCACTGAACCGTTTAGTGTTTATTTATTCCAAAGTCTAACAGCAGCTGATTTCAGCCTTACCTTGATGTATACTTTGAATGTATCCCATAGCCAAGTAAGAGATACCTTAATATTGTATCATTTCCCTGTTGTGTGAAGGGAAGAAATGCAGGTCAAAAAGGCATTGATTTCCTGCATTCGAAACTCATTGGAAGGGTTTGAATCCTTTTGCACAACTGTGTATGAAACCCACTGACTATCTCAAGGGAAACTAAACACACAAATATCGAGCAAGTCTAGAACATGAAACCTTTGCTTCCACTTTCCCCAAGGTCTCTGGCAGCTGCGGAGACTCCTGACTAGTGCAGGAGGCATATGAGCCTGGCATTCCACGTGACTTATCAGATTAAATATTTATAAATTATTAAGAGCAGGGTCAGTGCACAGAAAGCCATTTCTCATCTCCCGGCAGCACAGCTGATTATTTCCACTCTCACATATCTCCCGGTCCCAGAACAGACAGGTTTGATACTCATGGCATGTCCTGCTGTGTTAGGGTATTTCTCTTAATTGTTACAAATTTATAGCTTTCCTAGGGCAAGACTCGAGCTGCACTGTGCCCTATCTTCCCTGCATGATGGAACATGGTCATTCTTCCATTGTGGGAGGCACTCTTTTGGTTTTTTTCCCTGCCATTTACTAAGATGCAGCAAAACATGAGCTGGCTCATTCTCTGATGCAGCCTAAGAGGAATATACAGCTTCACAGAAAGAACTTCACACTTGGTTTTGAACAGGGAAATAATAATCACTTATGTAAACTACGCTGTATCTAGCTCTTTTACTAATTAATGTACCTGTCTCAAACACCCGCAAAGCAAGTGGCTTTGCAAGCTCAGCACGAGATAACGTGCTGGTAGAAGACGTATGTGGTCTTAAAACACCGTTGCAATCAAGCAGATGCTCACTCTTCTTTTGCTCTGAGCTGACTCAACACCACAAAGCCAGGCTAGTGTGTGATAAAATGGCAATAATCTCTCTTGAGATACTCTTTCTCTTAGGGAGGACTCACTCAGACACAGTGTTACACTAACATGGCTTCAGGTTTTGATCCAACTTGTAGCTGACAGGTTCTGAGGAGAAACACACATCACTTTGGTTGAAAGGGACCTCTTCAGATCTTCTAACCCAGCCCTCCTGCTCAAGCAGGGCCAGCTAGAGCAGAGTTCCCAGGACTGTGCCCAGGTGTTTTTTTAACAGCCTGCATGCAAAATGCTCCTAAAAGAAAAGTCTCTGTATGCAGAAACTATCAAGCCAACATAATTTTAACTATTGTAACTATTTAGCTTTTAACTACTTAGTTCAGAATCCTTCCAGCAGTGGTAACAGTTGCTAAGATCACACTGAAAGTGAAGTGTGTTCCTGTGCAGGCAGTATTAGCAGTGTTCAGAGTCTTAGCCCAAATATCCCATGGGATATGAGTTATTACTCACCGATTCCACGTTTTGAAAGCATTGCTAGCTCTCTTGAAGAGGTAGCCTTCCATCACTACTCCATTTGGGGCATCAACATTAAACTCCACCTTTGAATCATCGTAGGAGAAGTCCTGCAAATAAAGAGACTGAGACTTCAGCATGACTGCACTCTCCAGGACCAAGACAGAGATAAGCTTAATCAAAGCATCAGGAAGACAAAACCATCTATGCCAAGATCCAAAGGTTCCGGCCGAGGTGTCTGTCACAGCATTTCCCTATGCCTTAGTGGGCTGCTGCCATGAACAGCAGCCATGAATTATCCTCATTGCAGTAAGCTTCTGTCCCTATTGTTTAGAGGAAAGTACTACACATGCTGTACTTTCCCCCTCTAGTAGTTTATCGCAAGGGTTAACAATTCCCAACATTTGGGGCCATCTGCAATGGGAAATAAAGCAATAGAAGTGCTTTTTACTGGCCAGGAGTTAGCAATGCTGTCACCACTTCTCTGTTCTGCAAGGGGCCAGGAACAGAACAAGCCTCAGCCTTTTCTCGCAAGGGAAACAGGCATGACAATTTCTAGAAGGGAAGAATGATCAATTCCATTTTCATTAGCTATCATCATATGCCATCTCCAATCTGTGCTCACTCAATTCTCTGTGCTGTGCTACCAGTCAGAGCTGATTTATCAGGTTTGGCACTGATCCATCAGATAGATCTTATGGATTCTGACAGCTGGCGAGCAAGACACAGAGCAGAGAGAATAGCAGCTGTTCTCACAGAACATGGGATCCTTCTCCCTCAGCAGTGGTCTGTTTCTTTCCCAAGAGAAATGAGGTCACAAAACCTAAATGGCTTTCCCCTCTAACCTGAGGAACTAAGGCACATTGTCTCTTTGCACGCTGATTCCACTCTAATGATGCATTCTACCCACACCTCCCTCTCTCTTGAGCACAAATACTTCTCCCTTTACTGCTTGGTTCAAAGACACAACAGCGTAGTGAAAACAGCCCCATTAACTTAAGTGCCTTTTCCTAGCTCAGCATATGAAGAACCTTGTGATGCTGTGTTGCTAGGCAACATGTACTTCACTCTCATTAAGATGAGTTATTTTCATGTTCAAAGATGCAAGCTTGCCTGGGAGGTGTCATAATAATACTGATACAGAAGGAGGAGATATAATGGGACAGGACTGAATCATTCCTTGGAAAGACAGCATGATGCCCAATTAGACACTAGAAACTGCTGTAAGGCACCCAATTAAGAGAGGCCTGCTCAGCCCCAAATTTTCTTGTCATAAGAGGGTGAATCCCACGGGGGTCCTCTTCTGCAGATGTCTTTCATGTACATATTGCAAACAAAGGCTAGAGGGAATTTTCCTCTAACTCATAGATATCTGAATGTGTGATTTTTGGAGAGCTGCTCCAAGTGACAATTCTATAAATTGGATGAGGATCTGCATTGGTTTATAATAAATAATGCAAACATCCAAAAATCAGGACCCTGCTGAAAAGTGCACAGGAAGCACAGGGCAAAACTCTTCCACGCACATCTTTAAAATGATTACTTAGCTGTGCCTCACTTTGTGGAAGAGGTAAAAGTAAAGGAGGAGGTCTAAATATAACCACCTGACTTCTTCAGCTGTCCTTATATAATCAAGCAGTGTGATGGTAAGAAGGATATATTGCTGATGAGTGCAGGAGGAACAGATGGGTCATATGCGTCACTAGAGTAAATCCACTAAAAAATCAGTGGAGTCAAGCCAGGTGTGAGTTTAACCTCATTGAGTTTGTATGGTATTACACCTCCCTACAAATTGAATGGCTAGAGCAGAACAGCTGAAGGCACACGGGGTTGTTCCTTTCCTTTGAAAGAACTCTAACCTGCACCAAGCCCAATTTTGGAAAGAGAAAATGATGCACAAAACCACCAAATGCATATACAGATAAGACAACAGAAAGCCATCTGATGTCCAAACACCAAAACACATTGCTGGGAAGAATGGCTTTTGCTTGCATGACTTTGAAGATATTTCTCTTCCTTGTTCTCCCATTGGGTAGGAAACCTCCCCAGGCCAAATTCTGCTCATATTTCTGCTGGTCTAATTCCTGAGCAACAATGCTGCTATCACCAGAACTACTGCAGGGCAGTTGAGGGCAGGATGAGTTGACCAGAGCTGTAAACTCTGTACAAAGGGAGAGATTAGAGGGTTAAGGACCAGTCTGCCTCTTATCCCCAGGGCATGCGGCTGTCTGATCCTCAGAGGCACTTCGTTCCATTCCATTGCAATCTGCTTGGAAGCTCCTGAAGTCTTTGCTACAACGTTATTGAGAACACTGACAGATGAATGAAGTAAGGGAAAGGGGAGGGTGAAGAAAAAACCAGGCATTATCCCCTTGCTCAGTATCATTTTTCCTTTCACTGCCAGGCAAAGGCCAAAAGGGAAGTGTACAGAAATGCCTTGTGCAGCTGAAAGGCAAAATCATGGCAATTGTGAAACTTCCAGCACACCAGAGCAAGCTTAAACAAGGATTCCTAGACACATGATCTTGCTGTATCCCATACAGGGAACTTTCTTACCACTGCCATTGAAAAGTGAGAACAAATATCTGCAAACAGTTACAAGAACATCTGTAGAAACCTGATTCCAGGTCAAAGCTAGCTTAGAAACCATCTGAGGAGATCAGCGTGCCAATGGTGTTGAAACATGGTAGTGTGCAGCCACAGCTGGATACACACAGATGTGTGACAATGAATCCCCTTAACGGGCAGACCTGCCCTTAATGTGCCCTTGTGTCCATTCTGTTCACTGACACAACAAGATTTTGATCCTGATAGTTATGGGAAATAAGACAAAGGGTCCTGGCTGATGGACAGAACTCCTGCCAAGCACATCAACTATGCCATCAGTAACGCTCTCTGCCTCTTACAAGAGATGCAGCGCATCTGTGGACTGACTCCACACAGAACTAGGGAATAAAAGCTTTCCAACCTTGTAAACCCAGCTGTGATACCTGGGAGGTGCTTGTGGGGAAGGAACGTGTCACCCATTCTGCAACATTCAAAGTAACTTTCTTGATTCAAACCTCACCCTTGACAAAGCAGGGTAAGAGAGTGCACACATGCTTTTTCTTGTCCTCTCTTTATTCATTTCCTGCATGATTTTAATAAAATACCTTTTACTGAATTCTTCCCATCGTTGCAACGTACACAGAGTAGGCAAGTCTGCTCTAAATGAGTTTGGACTGATTTATTAAGCCTGCATTTAGCACCTCATCGTCTCTGTAATATAAAAGAATACATGACATGGAAAAGGCTTCCTAGGATTAGGATCTGAATGGCTATGGCCACAACTGCACAAGCAATCACGATTAGCAACAGCAGTGACGTGCTCGATCACACATCGGTAAAATAAATCGGACATCTTCCAAAATAAGAAACCAGATCTCTGCCATCATCTGCTTCCCTTCCCTTCACCGACTTCCAGTCAATCACACCGATCTTGTCTCGCTCACCTCTCCTCAGCACTATCACTCTGAGTTTACACACGAGGCTGGCCTGGGAACTCATGTTCTTTTGGAAATGACAATACAATGGTTTCTATGGGAGCACACTGAATGCTGTTGAAGCAATAATGAAGTAACACATTCCAAGAGACACATCCATAGGGATGTGAAAAAGGACATTAATGCAGACACTTTCAAACTAGCAAATGGAAAGCAAAAACCCAGGACAGGCACAGACTGACCTGTGAAAGAAGAAAAAAACCCCACCAAAACAACCCTATTTAAAGGTTGTCTCATGGCCTACCCAGTTAAGAACTGCCTTGTCCATCTCCACACAGCGTGCACAGACACTGCTTGCATTGCAGAGGCCTGACAAGCTCTTCCAATCAGTCCTGTGAAGCCAGCATTTCATGCAGAGAAAACGGCTGATGAAGGAAATAAACCTCTAGCTTCAGGGAACAGACCATATGAATGGTGAAGATGCCCCTCATCAGGCTGGAATCATTGGAGAGGGGGAGTCTTCTAAGTAAGAAGCCTTGCCTAAGAGCATACCCAATGAAGTAGGAAGGTCTCATTTATAGGTTCATTCCTATCCCAAAGGGCACAACACCTGGCTGAGATCAGATAGAACCTTTCTTTAAGATACTAAGACTTCCTTGAAATTCTTTAAAACCATCACTATGGCAACGTCCCTCCCCCCGAAAAACCATAGCATTACTCCCTCAGTGTATCAAGTCAACATGGAAATGACAGTACTGTCCTATTCTGTACCCTGTTTTGATTTCTACTGATAGAAAACACTATCAAAACTAGACAATCATGACTAGTGAATCATTTCAGTCCAGGTGTTTTTAGATATTCAGAGAAACCTATCTTACTAGCAAACCTCTGTGTTATTTTATTTTCAATCAATACCAGTTAGGGTAAGTGACAACACATGTGATACATGCTTTCCTTCGTAGAAGACAAAGGCTTTTATCCAAAAGAGCCCTCTTAAGTAATCAATGATGCTCAGTACTTAACAATTATATTATGTACACACTAACATTATGTATACATCCATACATTGACAAAAACTTTTCCTGGAGGCAAGTTAAAAATTGTGACTTATTTGTCTATTTGATCCCAAAGAGAAGAGAATTCATAGGAATATTCACATTCCCTAAAGATGCACACACGCCCCTTCCACACACACACTGGTGCAGGCACATTCTGTTCTCTTCTGGTGCCTCAGTATATTTCAAGCTTTTCTCTATCTGGATATTTTTACCTCTGTGTATATACTGTATACAATCTAAGATCCTCAGAGGCAGATGGAATTTGGAGGAGGGCTCTCCCACCTACATTCCCATTTCGCACAGACAGCTTTCATTCATTCTGGCCAAATCCCATTTACAGACCTTTTGTTTCTTGAATCTCCTAATGCCAAATGATCTCCCTGCTCTGCAGCTTGCCAGCAGATGATGCACAGAGCTCTGTGCCCTACCCCAAAGCTTTTCCATCCCAGAAACAGAACCTAACACATTTGCCCTCCTGCAATAATAAAGCTGTACTTGCTTGCAGGTCACATCAGCAAGCAAGGTCCTACAAGTACAATCCGTGCTTCCCCAGGGAAGAGTGCCCTCTAAACTTTCTCCCCAAGTCAAACCAACCCTGCAGGAGTCTCCTTACCAGGAGGTATTCAAGCCTGCCGAAAATCTTCATGATGCCAGCTGCAAGGGAGGTTTAGCTGCTCCTGCCTAGAGAGCAGGGAGCAGCTCTGTGTGTCCTCTCTCTCTGTTCGCTCTCTAGAGTAGCATCTCTGCTCAGCACTGTGGGCTGGCAGGGAAGGAGGGATTTCTTTTTCAGCCCCTTCTCCTTTACCCCTCCTACTCCTTTTTGGGAAGCTATAAGCTCTGCCGTTGGCTCCTGTCAAAGCAAGGGGCACTAGGCAAAGGAAATCTGCTGGCCTCTGGGGACCACTTGCTTACCCCCTCCTCATGCCTCCTATTCAGAGTCAATCAGCTTAGAGCAAGGGCTAATTATCATACAGCTGCCATGGAGGCGCAGGGGGAGCAGGAGAAGCCAGGCAACACAGAGCAAAGTTGACAGGAAGATGCTCACCGAATGCCACCCTGACCTTAACAGAGCCAGGCTTGTCTTTAGCAGGGTCTGCTTCCCCCAGCTTCCTGGAGCACAGCCACCCTTTGGCCAGTGATTCCTCTCTGCTCCACTGCAGCCGCAGAACTCAGGGTGTTGAGTGCCATATGGCCCCTCGTTTGTTAGCTACCAGCTGGATTAAATGAGGCAGAGCACTCTGCCTTGGCACTCCATCCTTCCTTCCCCTCCAAACAGGCAACAGAAGCACAATTGCTTCCCCCACTACTCTGGACCAGGGAATAGGTGTGAGGCTGCAAAGGAGCTTTCATACAGCCCTTTATGCCTCCACCTTCAGAGACTGCACGCGTGGTTTTGGTGCAGTGGAAGGATTCAGCAATGTCAGGATCTGCAAGCAGGGGGTTGGTTTAAGCGTTAACATTTCTCTCCTCATTTCCCACTGGAAAAAATTCCTGAGCCTGTGTGTTCCAGTGCTAAATTCTCCAAAATTTTTCTCCTAAGTGGTCCAACCTACACCAGGCCCTGTGTCTTTGCGCATCCATCCGAAGCAACGGAGCCCACCAAAACACCTACAAACGCATTATATGTGTGGTTTAAGACATTTTAGTTCAACACACCAGAAAAATGTGGGAAGCTACAAGACCATCTCCTCATCCTTGGCAGAAATGTATTCCATACTGCAGTCCTTACACACATGCCTCCCACACACAGCCAGAAGAAAGGCACCCCCAGCCTTCATGCTGAAGCTCTCCTCTCTTTGCATAACAGCAGGATAACTCAAATATTTATTGTAGCCCATAATAATTGAGACTCTTCCTTTCCTCTTGCTGATTTTATTGGAACTCCTTTTGTATAAGTGAGCATTGTTTTCATACAAAGTGTGAAGCTGTAAATGAAACTCTAAGGTTATGGAGCTGGGAAGGCAGAGAAGGCAGCAGTTAAAATGACAGCTGCCCAAGGAATCTGCCCCAAAGGTGGCAGATGTTCTGTGAGGGAAGATGGGGAAAGGGTGACATAGGAAAAAGGCACCTGAATTCCAGTATCAAAGAAAACAGTGCTGAGTTTCTCAAATTTCTACCAAATTTATTTTAATGAAAACAATAATGAAACAAAATGCAGACCACTTCTTTATGAACTTGGCTCTCAGAAGGCTGCCCTCCCTGCCTCACAAAGCTGCCCAAAGACAATTCAATTCCCTGTCTTCAGCTTCTGCACAGCCCCCCACAAGAACACTTCCAAATGTATTACTTAAACTGGATTCCCTCCCTTTCTGTCATGCCTTAGCAGGATGTTTGGGAAGACACTGTTGAGGAAAAAAAGGATATTTCTGCCACTCCTCTCTAATTAAGTGCAACTAAAATTCCAAAATTTTCAAGAGACCAGAGGGTATTCTGGGCTCAGCATGAATATATACATTCAACTACGTGGCAACAAGATGCTCGCCAGATGCAGAGTGCCAGGTTCCATTGCAAAGGGAGGAGCAACACTGAGTCAGAGTAGCTGAAAAGCAGTCTCACAGCGTTTCCAGGCAGGAAGCTTTAAATCTTAAATTGCAGTAGGGATGTTCAGCTCTCTTACAAGCTTATGCATACAGAGAGCCACAGCTCTAGGCATACGTATCCTGATGAAGACTAATTGCTCGTTCTCCCTCTTGGAACCTGACCTCTGCTTCATTCCCTGCTAGTCCAGTCGGCAAAGCCACATAAAGAGATTTAACTGAAATGCACTGCCCTTGAGAGATTTTCCATGTTCCCTCGAATGAAGTCATCACTCCAGCAGTCCCAGGGGAAATGAGAGTTCACAAATGGATTTACCCCTCCCTTAGCAGACTTAACCAAAGGGAGCATATACAAGCAGATTCATAGGGAATGCCTGTCATTAGCTTTCAAATCTGGTTATGTTTCCATTTCATGGGTTATGACATTTTTGACATAGAGCATTAGAAAGAAAACAATAGCCACTTAGATTCCTCCTGCTGGGAATTATTGTTTCATACAAGTGCCTGACAGATATGGACTCCTTAGTGATTCCTACTCAGGGCTTGGTTCATCAACAGCTATTCCTCTGGCCTTTCTGAAATCCCCTCTTACTGTGCCCACAGAGCGTGAGAGTGTGAGTGCTTATGTTCAAAGTCCACCAGTGCCCTGTTATGAGCCTGTGCAGCCAATTCACTTCCCACCAGATCCGTGGTCCTCAAAGGTACTGCTGCCACTGCAATACTGAACGCAGACAGGACTGAACGCCATACAGACCGAAATCTTATTTTAGCACAGGACTGAAAACAACTTTGATGAGGATGAAACCAAATTCACTTGAAATTGAGCTTTAAAATTACATCTCCAGTGTTCAGGTTACAGCACTAATGCTATGGCAAGGTTTCTTGGGTTTGCTTTCAAAGGCAGGGCTTAGTAAATGTCCAGAGCAGCAAAGTGCTAATTCTGAGAAATGAGTATGACAGAAGAAGGAAATACATGTGGGTACTCACCTGCAGGAGGGTCTGCAGGGGCAGGTCAGCAATCCATGAAGGAGAGAAGGAAAAGAAAAAACAAAATTGTCAGTTGATGTTTCTGCAAACCTCAGATCTGGAATCATTCCCAGATGAATGGTCTGTAAAATCAGAGCCCACATTGACCAAAGATGCCTCCCTACTGAAGGGTCAGACTTGTTTGATAATAATTGCTAGATAATAAAACCAGTTCATGGTGGTTACACCCAATTACAGCAGGTGACAGCACACACACCATGGGTTACCATAGCTCAGCTGAAAACAACAGCTTGCTGAGCCATGGCAGCTTTATTGCTTGGGTCCCCATGGACCTTTCCAAAGTTATGCTGCTCTAGCCATATCATGTCGCAGAAGCTAAGCAAGGATCATCTGAACTGCAGTTTGGAGTAGACCTGCATGGAAGAAGTTCACTGCTGCACACTCCTCTCAGCAGCAGTACACAGTCCTGCTCTCTCTCCCCCACGACCCATTAACATCACTTCAGTGCAGCACGAGTTACTTATGATTGATGAAAAGGCCCTGCAGCAAGTCCTGTCTATGGGTACCAAAGGAGTGCATCCACTCATTCATCTGCTGGATGATTTAACAGGGACTCTGGCCATCTGGTTGGGCTGGGCACTCAGGCATGCTGCCATACTGCTGTCTCACCATGGGGCAAGGCAGTCAGAGGCAGGGAAAGTGTCAGAAAGGACATGCTCATACTGCAGTACCTGGAGATCATAGGGCTTGCCAGACAAAAGCTAGCTTGCTCAGCCAGAGGAAGGATGTGAGACTGGGGGACACAAGAAGAAAAGAAGTGGTGGGAGAAAAGTGCTCTAATCTCTCCCCAAAAGCAGCTCTCCTATGCATTCAAGTTGTTTTCACAGGCAATTACAAACAACTACATCCAGTCCTCTATTTCAGAGCTATTTACAGAATATGAACTTTTAAATCTTCCTACATCCTCAGTAGCAAATAGAGAGACAAAGCATAGGAGAAAAGCTTGCTCAGAGGCAGAGCAGGTCAGTGGCAGAGCTGGGAAAACAACCCAGGTGCTGTGACCCATGGGGTCCTCCCTGTGTCCCTCTCCCTTGTGTATTTGGATGTGTCAGTAGCTGACTGTCCTGCATCTGATCAGACCTCCCACTAGCTAGACCTCCTGGCATCCACAAGGTTATTACTCTCAACCACCCTGCTGTTACAGCTCCAGGCTGTGAAGGACTAACCCAGCAAGGCCTCTCATTAGATGGCAGTTGCCACTGTGTGATCCAGACAACTGCACTGATGGAGAGAAGTGCTGCTTGCACCAAGCTGCAGCCCCAGGACTCACCCTCTGCTGTATCAGCGCATGCTTGTGCTCCATCTCCCTCTTCTCCACTGCAGAATCAATCACCAGCTGGTCCAGCTAAAGGCAGGGAGGAGAACACCAGGTATAAATGTCAGGAAGGTGGTATATGAGCCACTGTCCATCTCTGCTTCCCTGGTCTGAGATTACACCAGCCCTACCTTACGTCACAAATCCCCACAAGAGGGGACAAGGGCTGTGCTTGGGTGTGCACTGCAAATAACCATAGCTCTTGGCTGCCACCCCATAGTGCTCATCCACCACCCATGATGCTCTGACCACTCCCTGATTACCAGGTATGGCAGCTGAATAGGAAAGAGGATGTCCTTTCAGGGTAGAGGGGTAAAACAGTCAGATTGAGTCAACCATATTCCCTGTCCCCTCACCTCTGTGGCTAGTTTCTTCATGTAGGGATCCAGCTCATGGAGAAGACTGTAGCCCTGCTGGAAAAAGGTGTACTGGGCATGCATGAAGGACAGCATCTGGGGAGATGGAAACAATAGCAAGGTCAGAACAGGTTCTGGGACAAATTGAGTGTGAAAAGTCCTTATCCCTTATTACCCACAAACAAGACTCTTCAAGGGCTAACCCTTTCCCTTCCCAAAGCAATCTATCCATTAGATGTCTCTCCTTCTCATTTCTTCCTGACACAAATCCTTCCACACTGTGAGGTAACCCCTGTTGTGAGCATAAAGCAGTAAAGGCAGTGTCCTTCACCCTTGAAAGTCCCCTCCAGTTCTGGCCTGTGGAGTATCTTGCTGGTCCTTCATTCTCCCCTCTTGTTCGCATACCTGCAGCCCCCAGAGCAGTCCCAGACAGTATCTCCAGGGCAGACTGAGGAGTCGGTATGTTGACCCATGCAACCTGAAATGGAGAGGGCTGCCTTTCATTGAGTCACTGAGAGCAGCCACAGAAAACACAGAGAGCCCTTACCGCATCCAGGATTTCAAACTTCTTCTTGGCCTGCAGGACGTTGATCTGTGAAGGAATCAAGATAAGACTCTCGGCATCAGCAGCGTTAAGCAGTCTGGCACGGAGATCTAAGTATGACCAACTTGCTGCAACACCCCTAGCACCAAACCACAAACTATCCAAGGACAGTCCCAGAGAGTTAGTTTCTGAAAAGACAGTTCCAGGGAGTTCAAGGTGGAATAAAAAGGAAAATAGCACAGATGCATTTTCTGACTTGTTACCGATTAAGGTCACTGCCAGGTGTATGTCTGTACACAGGCTGACAAAGGGACCCCGCAGCACAATTTGGTATCACATGAAGAAGGTGTTTAATCTATCAGGTCACTGCTTTGAATTCTCTTAGCAAGCTCAGAGGTACCAGTGAAGTGTCTTGGGTTTTCTTCAGTGATCATAGTGAAGCCAGCCACAAAACTGTGGTTCCCAGTGCGCACACACATTTTTCTTGGAAAAAAGGGCATGTCTGATTGCTCCAGAGACCGTCACATCCCTTCCACACAGAAGCAGCAGTAGCTCAGGATTTCCTATGCCAGCCCTGATGTGCTTGGGCTCCTGGGGTGAAAGAGGCCTCCCAGCACATTCAGGTTTACACTTCTTCACAGTCCAGGGAAGAACTGCAGTAACTCTTGCCACAGCAAGACAGCATTGCTCTGGAAACGCACCCTGCTACTGCAAAAGAACCAGTTGGAGTATTTACAGTGAGGACGCAGTAGCTCAGGATTTCCTATGCCAGCCCTGATGTGCTTGGGCTCCTGGGGTGAAAGAGGCCTCCCAGCACATTCAGGTTTACACTTCTTCACAGTCCAGGGAAGAACTGCAGTAACTCTTGCCACAGCAAGACAGCATTGCTCTGGAAACGCACCCTGCTACTGCAAAAGAACCAGTTGGAGTATTTACGGTGAGGACAGGAGAGGAGACCCTGGCCATTCCTTGGGTCCTCCAGCAGGTGCTTAGCAGAGTGGTGGTACAAGCTCATGGTTGACACCCCACAGTTCACTCTCTGCATCTTTGATCAGGAAAGTCCCACCTAAATTCCCTCCCATAAAACATCGGGCACAATGGAGCAAGATGCTATGTCCTGATTCTTTCTCTCTCTCTCTCCAGTATTGTCCTATGCTATTAGCACTGAAGAAACTGTCAAACACAGCAGAAGGTTTTGATGGGGCTTCAGCTGCCAGTGTCATGAACAACATGTTACCATGACAGACAACCAGTTCCAGTGTGTTAATAACTCATTTATAAACACAGCATCAGCTTGCTTAGAAGCACTATGGTTACAGCAACTGAACCTAAAACAGGGTAGAAGTTACCAAAGGGCAGCTTGCAGGCAGCTGGCACAGTTCTGCTTGGGAAAGTATCCATGAGGCATGCCACCACAATCAGTCTCCTGATTTTGTATTTAAAAAAAAAAAAAAGTGAGAGGGAAAAAGAAAAAAGGCAAAAAAAGGCAAAAATAAAAGGGACTGGAACTAGTAACCCTGCTTTCTACCAACAGACAGTTTCACTGTACAGCTGTAACCCCTCTCCTGGACATTTATAGTCACAAAAGAGCCACTACAATAGCGGAAACGTGCCACATTACAGTGAAAATTTTTGCTCTGAACTGTGCTTTACTGGGTCCTGGTCCTTTTGGCTCTCTTCAAGGTGTGCGAGTAATGCTTCAAGTTTGACCACGCCTGTTGACAAAGTCAAAGATGATGAAGATGAGTTCTGAAAGATGTGAAAAGTGCAACAGATCCACACAACATGGTCTGTCTCTTTGTAGGCTGGAAAGGATGCTGGTTGGAAGATTTTCTACATCTGGCATTTGCATGAGAACCAGCTGAGACTTCTCTGCCAACACAGCACACACCATAGCTGATTCTGCCACGGCAAATTCTGGGACTTCATTTTTGCTGTGAGCCACGTTTTCCCTTTACCTGGGTACCTGAGCTGGGATTTGTGGTGGGAAAGTTTAACTTACTGCAATTAGTATATAGGTTTAATTCACTGTGACGGGGGTGTGCTTCAGCTGTGTGGACAGCAGGGTCAAGAAAAGATCTCCTTTCAGATACAAAAGAATAAAATGATAACTCTCCTCACTATATCCTTAACTAAATACCAAAGGATGCCTGGGTAAGTTCATGTCTATGCACTTCAAAATTGATGGATTTAGACTTGTAACGTGCAGTGGACCAACAGGAAAATGTCCCCCAGTACTGAACAAGCATGACCTTGTCAGCAAATGCAGTTGCATTCACGCCTAAATATGAGATTCAAATAATAACACTCCTAAAGGTGGATCAACAACATGCAAGATTTATACTTTAAGGGGAAGTATTGCTTTTCTATCTGCAGCTGCCAGAGCATGTGACATCAGAGGCTACCTCATGATCAGATAGAACGGGTTGGTAGATGAACTTAGTTTGGTGCGGCAGGAGTGACGGCTAGTGGAGACACACATGAATCAGTACTCACACTGAATTTCTCTCTTAATACACCCACTGCCCAAAAGGACAGACATGACACGAAGCCTATGAATGACTCCAACAAAAATCTTTGACCATTCTTTCCTGCAGGAAATCTCCCACTGAGAAGAGAAATTCAGTCTAAGGCAGTGTCTTCAATTTCTCTTACTGAAAATATGATTAAGTTATCTGTCCAATTGCCTGGGCAAAGCTAGGATGACTTCAAGGTTAGATGAAGTTGCTCAGATCCTGGTCCCCTTGACTGTGAATCTCTTTGTGTTCCTGTTCCAGTGCTGCGTAACTCTGAAAAGGTTTTTGACTTATATTCAACTGGAATTCCCACTGTTGCAACATGTGCAGATATGCACCGTGCACATATGTATGCACATCCACCCATCCAGATGTGTATTTGGACATGCACACACATCCATCTGGAGCTTCAGGCATGAACACAAGTACAGACACATGGATGTTTACATGTGCACACAGCTGCAGACATTTACCCTTAAGGACATGTTCTACACATAGGAGCAGAGAATTATTTGCAAAAACACTTGACAGTGTGGTATTCAGTCCCTCACTTTCAGTAGTTTCATGACACTTTTGTCAAACTCTGGAGAGTTATAAGGAATGAAGTGCCTAAGGATTCTGGGGAAGAGCCTCCCCTCTCTTACACCATTTACACCAAAAACTTGTGACTCTTTCAAGCAGAATTGGTCAGCTACAGACCTCACAGCCCCACCAGTGAAGGTCCTCTCATGCCAGCACAGCCCACTATTTCATACAGACACGCTGGATCATGCCAGAAGGCAGCTCGAAGAGCCCTGGGACCTACAGCAGTACAGGGCTTTGCTAAGCCGTACATGGGTTCACAGTGGTACAACTACATCAGTGCCTGGAACTAGAGCAAACCTGGGGGGTTCATGCTCCCTCACATAGTCCTACGGACTCCCTGCCTCAGGAGGCAGAGGGCAAAACATCCAGTGGATTAGTAATCCAGTCCCCTTTTGAACACATGTGTAAGACTCTACTTGCCCTCTCTCATCCCTCAACTTCTTCATTCCCTACAGTAGATTATTTAGCAATTGGCCTGAGGTGTTTTGTTCTGTACTGGGAAATCCAGTCAGAGCTGGGGGCACAGAAACCAACCTGCAAAACATAGTCGAGGGCCAGATGCCGGAAACACTTTCTGGTTATGGTCAAGGTGCCTGTTGCCTCCTCCACTTCATGGGGCTTGTGCCGAGGTGCCTGGGCATTCTTCACCAGTGAAATCTCCATGTCCTCTCGCACCTTGTCAAACTGCTTCTTGGTTTCCTTGAACTTCCGGACGTCACTGGAACCCAAAGAAGAAGAGATGGTGAGAACTGTTGTTACAAAGCAGCCAGAATATTGCTGATGCCAGCAGAGCAGGGAGAGGTGCAACCAGGCACACTATGATCACCCAGACATCCTACTCCATATGCTGTTGGGATCCTAACCCACCCCACCAAGCTCCACTGTGTCCAGATGGACTGGCTCCAGATTAACTCAGACAGTCTTTCTTTTAGACGTGGTTGGCAAGGAAAGATATTGGACCTTACATACTGCCTTCAAAGCCTCTAGGAAATTCTTGAAGGACAGCATCCAGAAAGCCAGGCCAGATGGCATCCAGTCCTAAAAATAATCCACAACTGCCCTCAGAATAAATGGTAAGCAGAACATTTCAGAACCTACAAGTGAAAACACATGCTTCCTATTTCACTTTGTGAAAAAAAGTAAAACCAGCCACTTTTCAAATTCAGGACAGGACATTCAACTGGGGCAGCCAGGCCATTCATGTGCATCTCTAGCTGATTCTGTCTTGCCCAACTGTAAAATCCAGACAGTTGACTATTCTTTTCCCCTTCTATAACAGGCACATTTGCATTTGGAAATACATGATCCATAATATGAATTTTCAAAGTTTTATTTACACCTAGAGACCTCACATGGGATCAGGGGTCTGCTTTGCAGGGAGGAGGGAGGCTATAAAGACATAGCAACAGGCAGGTTTTTTTCAGTTTGGTTGACCAGATTTTTTTTTAATTAAGTAGCAGGTACCATTCAGGCAGGACTTGATTTGAGTTGCATGACGACAAGGAGGGGAGGACAGCAATTCCTGAAGATCAGCTCTTACAAGTGGCCCTGGTTTCTCTGGAGTTGAAAGCAGCAATGCTGATTTACAGCGGGTGTAACACAAACACATCTTTTCTGTCCAGGGGAGCTCTGTTTACCTCAATTATATATTATTACAAGTTAAAGTAGTTAAAAACTGTTAGTAAATAAGTAGCATCCACTTATTCTTTGCCATAGGGAAAACAAAAAGGCTCAGTTGAACATGACAGTCCGAGAGTAAACGCTGAACCCTGTGGCAAACTGTTTGAAGTTGCATATGCTTACATATGGATCAGCATCTGGCCAAGAGGATCTACTATGGCAAATACAATAACAATAAATTAAAATAGAGGTGATTGGATTATTGTTCTGGTGGCTGTTGCTTCTTCACAGTACCCCCAATGCACAGGAGTTCAGAGTAATGTGATACTGCTGGAAATTCTCTGCTAGCTCTGTTCCAGGCTGCAGCAGCATGCCTGCAACCTCAAGACTTAGCTAATAAAACCCTCCTACTCAGCACGGTCTGTGGCTTGGTAACGTGCTAAGGCGGTCACTGATTTGGCTACTGACAGCAGGGGCAGGGCAAGGTGAAATTATTTTCCAAACAAGGGCAGGAGCAACACAAAGATTAAAGCTACAGAGCTTGCAAGTGCAGAGGTCAAGCAGTACAAGTGCAAAAAAAGAGCGAAGTGCAAAGACGCTGAAAGGATGACAGACTCAAAAGGAAGGTGAAATTCCCCCATCCGACTGCCAGCCTTAAGAAGATTAAATCTGAGCTCATCAGAGAAATGATTATAGAGAAAGTGGGGGTAGGGTGAGTGCTGGGCAAGAAGATGGGGATGAGGAAGAGGGGGGTCAGCTAGGGACCCCCTCCCTCCATGAAACTACACAGCTGCTGAGGGAATCACACTCAATTACCAGTTCCCATGGCAACCAGCTCCTGCTTAGCTGAAGGCCCCAGTTGCCTCTCTGACCTATATTCAGCTGAGGTGGGATCCCGTGCTGCACTAGTACCTGCCCTGGGGAAAAGAGGCATTTGGAAGAAACGTTAATGCAGCAACAGCAAGGACAGACTGCTGAAAGCCTTGATCAAAGGTACAGACTGTCCCCCTCCAATTAACTTCCTGGGACCAGTTCTTCTGCACCTCAGGCCTGCCCTGTGCAAGTTAACATCCTGAATACACAATATTCTGCATTGCTCACACCAGGGCATTGTAAACTTGCTTTCATTAGCAAATAACTCTGAACCAGTGGTCAAGCTCCACGCTCAAGGCACAGTGATGATCAGTTGCTCCCTCCATGCAAAGAAGGGCCCTCCTGTCTGTCATCTTCCAGACAGATGCTCAGGTTGCTCCAGAAGAGCAGGGCTGCTGTAATTTTGAGTGACTAAGCATGATGCTTGAGTAGCTAAGAACACAAGGATTCTGCTGGACCCAAAGCCATTTGGCAGCAAAGTTCCTTCCTTCTGCAACTGTGCACTGGTTTTAACCACTAAGGAAACTCTGCATTGAATACAAGATGTAGAGTTGACCCTGCTCTGCAGCGATCTGAACTCTGGGATGTGTTTGACCTAGAGGATCAGTGAGAAGCAGCAAAGATAGGCTCTACACATGAACGTTACCAGACTTCAGGATGATGCTCTGATCTGGAAATATGCCTCCTGTCCAGCTTTAACTATGAGCTGGGAACATGATGAAGGTATCTGGCTGACAACAGAACAACCGAATGATAGTGTAGCAAGATGACAGCGCCAGCCATCACACAAATCAGATCCTTTCCTCTACCCTTCAGTGTTTCTTCAGCTCCAAGCTTCAGTAGTTGTGCAGTGGTTGCAGTTGTTTCCAGTGCACACAGGACAGGTGCAATGGAAGGTCAAGAAGCTGAAGACCAAACTGTAAGACAAGTACTCACTCTTTCACAAAATTGTGCAGCTGCTGCCGGACTGACCGCTGAGCCTGGTCAAACAGGATCTGAAAGAAAAGAGAGAGAAAAGAAGAGCAAATATTTTTGCAACATGGAAACACTGAAGAGCCAGAAAATCCATGAACGCTCTCTAGGAGCTTCAGTGAGGGACCTGGCATTACTGCAGGGCTTAGTGGTGTTCATTACTTGCTGGCTGTCATAATGGATAATAACTTTTGTCTGTAGCTGCAGCACTCCCTTACACGTGCAGAATTCCTGCACTGCAGGTTCCACAGCCTGTGCCAGGGCTCTGAATACCACAGAGACCTATGCCACCAACATACGAGGAGTGTTTGTAGGAGCAGTTGCCTTCCTAGTCTGCATTTTGAGCTCTTTCCCAAGTCTCGAATTTCTCATTTTCCCAGAGGAGGGCACTGTCACCTCAGCAGTACACCACTTAGAGACAGGAACAATTGCTGAAGGTACATCACAGCCAGTCGCATGTTGATGAACATGGGTGAGAGGTCCAAGCGTGCATTAGAGAGAGACTTAGATCTTACAAGTCTTTTAAATTTTACTCTCCTGTCTGTCCCTCACAAAAGAAATCATCCCAAGCCCTCTAAACCCACTGCCAATCTCATCTCCAACCCTCCCCATCTTCAAGAGATGTTCTCTCCCTACACTCTGATGCCGAACAGTGGTGTCTGCTCAGCTCTCTCCCATCCATCTCTGACAGGCATGATTACAAATAATTCAGACATGCATCAGGATGACACAGCATTTTGGCTAATCAGGACCAGATGGGCAGAAGCTCACAGACCACGTAGTGACTGCAGCAGGAAGTACACATCATCCCAGGGTTACAAGGAAAAGCCATTGGCCACGCTGCAGCCAGGAAGAGTGGCCCACAAAGAATGGACAGAGACCCCATTTCATTCCACCATCAGGAACACAAGGCCTGGACACTGGCCCAAAACTGAATGATGCCCTGAAACATCACAGTGCTGGGGTCTGGCACCGCTACAGCTGTGTGGCATGAGTAACCCCGGCTCATTTGCTCCAAGTTAACACTGTGTCCTGAGCAGCCAATTTAACCTAGAGAGGACCCGGAACACACAATGGTAACTGTTTGTCTTCCTAAGGGTGCAGTCAACCAAAAAAGCATTTCCCAGTCCAGCATTTGGCCTTGCTTTCTCTCCTGAAACGACCAAAGCCCTTTCAGGAGAGGCTGACTGAGCCCACAGAGCATGAGGGACAGTTCTCAAACGGGAGTGTGAAGCTGACACAGGACTTTGTCAAGGCACTTTCTCTCAGCAAGCAGACTGTACAAAACCCTTTGGATTAAAACAAACAGCTTTTTCCAGTTTGCCTTTTTTACCCTCCTCTTTGTGGCAAGCTTGGTTTTCCAGTGGGCGTTTTCTGGGCAGCTTCCCTTGACACCCCACCCACCATCTCTCCCTTCCTTTCCTGGCCAACTTTCTGCTTTACTACCCACTTCAGGTAAGACCCAGAAGTGGTGAGCACCTCTGGGTCTCCTGACTTTTTCCAAGAGACAGGAACAGTCATCTTGTATCAGGCCATTTACAGTGCAAAAGATCTGGCATTACCTAAAGCAGCAGCTTTTTGTGAGGAGGTGGTGGTTAACCTTCTCTGGCTGCCAGGTGGCCACTGAGCCACTCTCACTACTCCTCCTCAGCAAGATGGGGACAAAACAAGATGAAAAAGCTCATGGGTTGAGATAAGTACAGGGAGATCACTCACCAGTTACCATCACAGACAAAAGAGACTTGACTCGGGGAAGATTGCTTTAATTGCCAATTAAAAATGAGAGGATAGTGAGATACAAGAACAGAACTAAAAACAACCCCCACTGAAGCACGGTCAGCATTCCCAGCCTGAGCAGTACTCTGTCCACAACACTAAGATCTCAGCAGGCACTGCAGAGATCTCACACACGACACACACTCCGAGGTGGCCACAAGCTTTAACCTCCTCATGCCCCATAGTAACGTACTAGCAAAAACACTCTGGTTCCTTCTTGACCCCTCCTTCCAGCGCCAACAGACTCACAGAGACAGAGATGTCCTCCCGAGCTGGCGTCTCCCACTAGGAGACAGGCAAGTCATGCTTTGGACACTACGCAGGTGTACTGCTCCAAACAGAATGCAAGGCACACTGCAGAGAAGCAGCAGCACTGGCTGCAGAGCCTCCAACACATCCATCATACCTATTGCTGCAGTCAAAGGCAAAGCAAGAAACATGCCAGGACTGAGTATAAACAGCCCTGAACAGCCTCTAAATATGAACAGATGCAAAGCAAGGGGGAAGAAAAGAAAACCCCCAAGACCACCCAGCTTTGTGTTTTTACCAGTGTAAATTATTTACTGCTCTTGGCATCCATTCGCTCTCTCCAACAGCACTCCAAGAGGCTTTGACCTGCAACTTTTCCCATGGAGCAGCTCCCCCAAGCAATGTTTGGGCATTGACAACTCTTCCCTCCACTCGTGATAACACGCAGTGATAAGCAAGCAGCAAGAAAGCCATCTGGTTCTCACCTGCACCTACATCTGGAAAGCTTCCATCATCGGTTTCTGCCAGAATGACACGCTTGCTTAGGATCAGGGAACGGAAGGGACCCTATTATGTCATACTTGGGACTGCAGGCAAGTACCCTGGGACATTCTAGGGAAGAATGGAAGCAGCAAAAATCTGCCGAGCAGTTGATACACAGGACAAACCAAGCAAGGTCCAAGATCACCCTGGAGTAGGATATTGCTGTAGCCCTTTTGCAGCAGACAGAAAGGCTCTGAGCACCAGTGTCTGGCTATAAAAAGGGCAGATGCTTTGAACAGTGCAAGTGAAGTGTTTACAGGAGGTCTCTACCTATAAAAGGGAGGCACTGTCCCAGCAGGGTGCTTCCAGGCCTATGTGCAATGCTCTCCTGACACAGCATGGGCTTGTTCTCAGGCTGCATGGGAAGAAGAATTAACTAAGGATTCAGTCCAGGTCTAAAAATCAGTCCATAAATCATCTTCTTATGGAGAAGGAATTAAACTCATGGTCACCAACGTATGGATTATTCCTATGCCTGTGGTACAGGGACATTTCTATGTGGAATTTAAATGTATTGTAACAGAACAGGAAAACTGCACAAATGAGGAAGACAGGCCATATATATATATCTCCATCTCCTGCTCTCAGAATACTCCTCTCCCCTGCTCCTGTTATTCATGCACGGGGCCCCACTGTGATGGCACCCTTCCTTCCAGTTTGCATTGATTCATGCAGTGCAAGTCTGGGGCAGGTATTGCCAAGTGGTTTGCGAGGGAGTATCAGGTAAGGAATATGCCTTTCCTGCCAGCAGCACCTCTGCTGAGAAGCATCCTATGATACCGGCATTACTTTTAGTGCTTCTTCATCAATTTTGCCAAGCAAGATCACCAGGGGAATATTTTCGAGTGGGTCTTCAATTCAATTTTCAATGCAAAATAAATAGGGTTTTAAGAGCTAGAGTTTCAAATATAAAAATCATCCTGTGTTTTTTTTCTCCTTTCCCAGACACACTTGGAACAAATCATTTGTTTTAAGATTTTCCAGACCAAATATCACCCCACCCTCTCTCTTAGCTTCCACCAAGACATGAGAAGTCCAGCCTATGACTCACACACATCTGTGCCTGAGGAGGGTCAGCATGAAAGAAGGTAGTTAGTACAGCTCTCACCCAACAGCAGCAAAAGGCTAGATCCTGTATTTCACTTTCCCAGCATGGGCTTCTGAGGGTACCGCATAAATCCAACCCTGTGTTTGACAGGGGGCTTATGAATTTCATGCCCTCAAGAAATGAAAGCAAGTTCAGCAGCCCAGGATGTTATTCCTGGAACTGCAAGTCTAAAAATCAAGATTCAAGATACCAGAGATCCAAAAGGATGCCATTGCTACAGCACGCCCACACAACTCCCTGCAGACCTTAACAAGAAAAGACACTATCCCACCAGGCTCCAAAGCAAAGCAGACACTAAAAAGATGTGAGATTGCCTGGCTACGAACTGCTTCTCTCAGCACTTACATGCATGAAGTTCTGAAGTAGGACATCACAGCTGCACTCAAGAATAGTGCTTGAGCAGAGATTAAAGGTAGGCATCAGGATTTGTGGTTGGAATTTGTCAGGGAGCAGCAGAGGCGACCGGACCAGGAGCTGAGGTGGGATAACGCAGCTTGCAGGTCAGGGGCCTCACCACACCAAGAAAGCAGGCCAGGTTCAGAGATGGTGGCCAGATTCAACCAAGAGCCAAGACCATCAGGTAAGTTTGTGGTGACAAAGCAGGTCCAAGGCTAAGCTGAGAAGTTGGTCCATGTATCAGGGTCAGGCCAATCCATAGTGACAAGACAGGTCCAGCATCAAGCTACAAAAATCAGTCTGTAAGTTGAGATCACCAAGGTCCATAGCTGGGCATAGCTGAACTGGAGACCTGTACTCCTACAGCACAGCTCAAACCCAGAATGATGGCCTCAGGCAGAGCCTAAATGGAGTACCTGGGCCCACAGGTGGAGGCCTCAGATGAAGCTGGTCAGGGCCATTAAGGTCTATTGCACTGAGAGCCATAGCCCAAGATGAGATCAAGCTCACTGAGTGAATGAGACAGAGGGTGTGGAGCTTCCCCTGCAGCTGCCTCACACGCAGAAAAGGGCAGCTCTCCCTTCTCCAGCTCCGCCAATTCCCCACCCTAGCCACAGTGGGCCGTGAGCTGGATGAGTCACATCTCCACGCTTACCTCCCTCTGGCCAGCCTGGAGGCCTCGTTCTCACCAACATCCCCTGAAACAGTCTTTATGTTGTATATAAATGAGGGTTTTGTCTGGTGGCCTGGGAATCAGAGCCTGATCCCTTTATCTGGTCTTGGGAATCCTGTCCCATCAGCGGTCTCCCAAAGGGGGGTTACACTGTAGTGTCTGTGAGAGAGGGAGGCAGCTACAGCCAGGCTGGCAGGGCTGACTGGTCAGGTACAGGGCGCCCAGGTATGATTCTGTCAGCTATCTCTGAGCACATGCTGGGGAACAAAAATGCCCCC